AAATTACATATCGATAAATTAATAGAAACATTGTCAAAGTTGATATAAATAATGAATATTTTTAAATTAATCAATATGCAAACCTTTTTAATTTTCTTAAAACAACAGAAAATGGACTTACAACTATTTTCAAAATAAACGATCCATATCATTCTACTACGTTTGTTTTATTCGACAGATAAAACAAATGGGAGATAATATTTTTGATTTGTCAATTATTTTTACAATCGAAATTAATAAATTTTAATTAAAAATTATAATCACTTTATTTTATAAATAAATAAAAAAAAAAATAGTGATCTCTCTCTATATCCCTTTTTAATATAACAACCATCATCTTATTTAGAAATTTGACCGATCATTTTTGATTTAATTCCACATACGAATAGATTCATTAAAAATTAAAATAAAATTGTTTATTTAAATTTCGAAAATGTTCATTTATCTTTTTCTTTTTAACTCAAACCACAATATACTAGTCACGTGTATTATTTTATCTCTTTCCACATAATAAGAGACAAATCGAAGAACTAGTAATACAATAATACACTTTTCGAAACCGGTAAGTGTTATACACGTGTGCAACAGGTTAAGAGGTCACTCAGCGAGCAATTGTATCACCGACTTGGTATAGGTTCTTTCCTGAGAGTTCAACTTCCTTTTCATTTCTTCTAACAGACGAATGTGAACGATAGAATTTTCGATAAAGAAAAATCATTCGAAGACAAACAAGAAAATTATATCTACGTTTCTCTACAAAAAGAAAAAAGAAACATAAATCAAAATGAAATAAATAAATAAATAAATATATAAATAAATTTATAACAATACTTTAATAATAAATTTTCTTCGCAATAATTTATCTTAACTATCAAAGTCGTTTTACAATCTTCCATCCTTTCTCCTGACCCTCTTTGATAAGCTCATCTATATTCGCCTAATTATAGAATATTCTCGATGTCGTTGGCCTCTTTATTGGATAAACCTTTCTACTACAATATATCTAATAATCGTTAAAATATCTGACATATGATAATCGATAATAATTTTGTATGAGATGATATAATTAATTAATTAATTAATTAATATTTTCTCTATTATTTCTAAAATATATTTAATATTAGATATTGCATTGGCTGGCAATGGGGTACTAGAAATATTTGGAGTATATGCGAAGAATGGAGACAGAGATTATCATGGTTATGGGCACCACGAGAAGAAAAGGTACAAAATAAAATAATAATTATATAAAACTGGTCTATAAATATATAATATATATTTGAAAAAATTAATAAATATAAAAATATTAATAAGATACTATACTTTGAAAAAATGATTTATTTATCTAACAAACAATCATGATTGATTTGATTTATTTATTGTTTTATCAACGACAGGTTGGTCTTGTAAAAGCTCAACATCCAACGGCACAAACTGTACCAGGTTTATATCGACAAACTGGTAATCCTTCTGAACATTTGTTGCACAGTGATAGTGATTTGAGATTGGATGCACAAGGAGCCTTTACACGGTAAATAAGATTAATGTTTTTACATTTAAAAATTGTCGAAATTATTTGGAAAACTTTCTAGAATAATTTAAAATAAAACAGACAGATAGATGTAACAAACAGAAAGGTTTCCAACTAGACCATGAAGCCAAAAAGCTTCTACAGAAAGGCATCGTTTTATTAACCTTCCTAGATTGCACTTTAATGATTCGACTTTCACATAGAAGCACTCAAAATAATCTAATGAAGACATTAAATGGTGCTTTGCTCAAAGGCATTCAAAAAGACCTAATGATACTAACGTTGATGTAACGTTAAGTGCAACTACTAAAGCATATGATTTAATTGATAACATTGATTTAACTAATTCCTTATCTTGACCTAGTAAACTAATTTCTATTTAAATATGCATTAATCAAATCATTTTGTTGAATCTATTTTATAATTTTATCATTTTTGTGTTGACCTAGAAAATATCTAATTTAAATGATATTGAATTGTTTGAAATTGTTAAAATCATGTGTTATATGGACCATAGATTCGAAGCTGTGGACAGAGATCTTCATCCACCACTTGGTACCGGAAGTAGTAGCACTATACCACCTCAGCCATTAAGGCCAGCACCTCAACCAAGAGCAACATCTCGTCCAAGACCGTCTCCACTTCAAACTCCTAGCACTGTCGATTATCTTCGTATGCAGGAGTCTGATCCTGGTCCTTTGACACCACCACCACCCTTGCAAAGAACAATTTCATCTAGAGGAACAGCAGCCTCGGTTTTCGTCTTCCAAAACGAACCGGTCAAGAATTATGGTATTTTCAAAGCACCTAACGATCATTCGGCCTTTAGATTCGATGGGGAAGGTAATACGGGAAAGATGTTGCAAGAAAATATACAAATGACATCTTATAATATGCAAAATCATTCGGATACGAGATTAGGAAGATACGATATAACCGAAGAAAGAATAAAAGAAACTTACGATCCAAGGTGTAATCCTTATAGACAATTTGAGACAAATAATAGATACAATGTTCATAATACACCTATCGCATCTCTCGATGTTAAAACTACTAATGACGATAAGACATATCCCGGTTATGACGTCGTACAAAGAAACCATCAATTGAGGCAACACGTTAGAAATGATTCGAGAGGATCGGCTAATAGTTTTGGTTTGACGAATCATACCAATTCAACCAGCCAAACTATCATGGAATCTATTTATGGGCCTCAGACCCTATGCAAGATGCTACAAAATGCTCAAAATTTGGAAAACGAATTGGATCGAAGGAACAACGAGGTTGCTCAAAGTATTGAAATGACACCATTCAGAAGTTCAACGATTCAAGATGACGTTGGCACGTCTTATCTGTATCATGATAATTCCTCGAATACTGGTCTTCAAAGAGTCTCTCAATATATTCAAAGTCTACCTGATCATCCTGCCTTCGATACGATCAATGATCACACGTCGATCACTCATCAAGATCAAGAACAAATACTTTATGCTGATGCTATGCAACCTCAAATGAATTCGTCTAAAATTAACAACAGCGAATCTGCATCGAGTCCTATACCACCACCACCTGCTCCACCTGATCCTCCTACTGACGTTCTCAAAAAGAATGGACCTACTACAGGTGAAAGGATTTTCAATGCACTTAGATCGGTTACCTCGCAAAGTTACATCGATGCCTCGGAATTTTACAAGTAAGATTTTTTTTATTTATTACTATATAACAAATATATTACTATATTTTTTTTATTTATTACTATATACAAATTACCATATAACTCTCTCGCATATAAATTATTTTAATTAGATTTAAAAAAAAAAAAAATTAATTATAAATTTAATTTTTAATTTTAGAAGTAAATCATTTCTTCTTATTTCTATTAAAATTTAATTTAATAATAAAATATATCGATAACTAAATGTTATCTAACCACTTTATGCGAAATAAATTTTGTAAATTATATTTCAAGTGGAACACGATGAATTACTGTATAAAATTAAAATCACACACACACACACACGCATCAATTTAATCATATTAAAAATTGAATGATGTTGAAAAAAAAAAAAATGAATTGCAGTTCCGTTCTATCGTCAGCTCAACAAGTTCAACGATTTACCTTCTCGAGATCGCCAAGTATGGTGAACGAGAATACAGGAAGTCGTTTACAGAACGAGGTACGTGACATATACACTGAAACCGATTCGGACGCCATTGGCCTTGATGCTTCCAGACGTAGTTCCGATCTTTACAGCCCCGAGCTAAACTTGGAAGCTCATAGAACTGCTCAGGAAGTAAATCATTTCTTCTTATTTTTCTATTTCTCATATCAACTGAGAGAAAATTTATCGAAATGTTTGGCCTTTCAGGTATATTACAGCTTACAGGATCCACCATCTTCGCCTTTATTGTTGAAGGATCATAATCATGAATCCTATACGTTCATGTCTGATCCAAGCTTCACTAGAACCTCCGAAGTAATTTTATTATTTAATATTATATATTTAATAATTATAAAATATATCTAATTATATATAATATATTTTTAAAAATCTTATAAAAAGATAATTTATATATTTAATTGTGAAACATTTAAATATATAATTATGTACATAATTTATTTTATTTTATTATAGGATATATTTAATAGTTTAGAACAGAGAAGGAAGAGTATAGAGAGACTGAATGGTATTCACGAGTTTGTAGAACATGAAACTTCCGATACTCAAAGGTAAGCTCTTCAAAGTCCTTAATACTCTCTCTCTCTCTTTGTATTAATTAATATTGAATCAAATATTAAATATTATGGATTTTTAATTGATCAATCTCAGACGGCGGAATAGTCAAGAACTTTATGCAGTTTTGGAAAACGTTCAAATAAAAAGAAGATTATCACAGGTATTTGTTCAAATTTTCTTTTTTCTCCCACGCATCCCTCCACCCCCCCCCCTTTGATAAATATTATAAAATAGAAAGATTTGTTTTCTTCTCTAACGAAATTAATAATAATAATAATAATATTTCGTAATTTAGCAAAGTCTCGAAGAAAATTATATTACGAATTACACTATAAACGAACACGAACACGAATCGAATTCAGGAAGTCGTCGTGGTTCACAGGGACCTGAACCTGAACCACCTCCACCGGATGAATCGAATTTGAAAAGAGCAATAAGTTGCGAAAGTGTTTGTTCAGATACAAGCGTGGTATTGAACGATCTTGAGGAAACACCTGTCGTAGGATACGTTTGCGTTGGTTTAGAACACGAAAGATGGGGTGGACGTGGTACCGATTCAGAAGGTGATTTAGCAGTTAGCGTTCTTGAAGCTAGAGAACTCGTTGCACCTGATGGTCAAGCAGCGCAAGATACTTTCGCAAGGTTTGTGTTTATAATTTAAAAAATAAAAAAAAATGATAAATTTCTAACGATTTTTACAAACATAATATTATATTTAAATAATTAATCATTTTGTTGTTTAAATAAATTACAGGGTATGTCTATTACCCGATAGACAAACGCACGTACAAACACGTTTATACAGAAGTTCACCATCGCCGAGTTATCAAGAAAAATTTTTATTCCCGTTGGACGGTGGTCCAGCAGGAAGAACACTCCTGGTCGAGGTAATAAAAAAAAAATAAAATAAAGTTTTTATTTAAGAAAAATCTAATATTAATGACAAATAATCGTAGGTGTTTTCTGACGAATCAAGTATCGGCGGTGGTGCTTCACTTATCGGCGAAGCTAGTTTAAGATTAGGCCCAGCGCCAAGACCACCTGCTACCACCTGGCTACCATTAACAGGACCTGCCTTACCTACGCCGCACTTGGGTGAACTTATGTTCTCTCTGAGCTACTTGCCAACTGCGGAAAGGCTTACTTTGGTCGTAGTAAAAGCTAGTAATTTACGTGGTTCTAACAACACTATTCCTGGGGATTTCTTTGTCAAGGTAATACAAAAGTGTTTCACCAAAAAAAATATATATATAAATATATCTGTATAAAAAAATAAAAAAGGAATATTAATTAGACATAATTGTTTTCGCAAAAGGTGTACCTGCTGCAACAAGGAAAAAAATTGCACAAGAAAAAGACGTCGGTGAAAAAGGGAGAGAAGAGTCCTATTTTCAACGAGGCAATAATATTCAGTGTACCTGCTCATGCTCTACAGGTATATGTCTAATTAAATAATAATATTATAATAATATTTCTTTTACATAATTTTTTAAATATAATCTATACGTAATTCTCTCTCTCTCTCTCTCTCTGATGCACACAATAAAGTATATAATTAAAAATAATTATTATTGTTGTATCTTTCATTTTTTTTTTTATTGCAGACAATTCAATTGAGACTGACAGTATCAGAGGTGCACAACGAACAAACCACAACCAACACTAGAACTAATCCTATAGGTCACGTTTTTGTTGGTTCCACTTCAGCTGGTAGAGCATTAGCACATTGGAGACAAATGTTAACAGCACTGAGACGTCCAGTTGCTATGTGGCATCCATTGAGAAAATGAGATCAGCTGGAAGTTGGGAGAAAGAAGGTGGAGGAGGAGGAGGAGGAGGAGGAGGAGGAAAATATACGATGGATATAAAGAAGATTAATTTAAATCAACAAGAGAAGAAGAAAAGAGAGAGAGAAACCGAACGTTATAACAGGCAAGAGCATAATGTGCACACTAATTAATTAGATTTTGATTCATTTATATTTACATTAAATGTCTCAAATGTTTTTTTTTTTTTTTTACGCTAGAATATGTATGTTTTTAAACAATATAACGTTTAGAAACATACAAAATATTATTAATTTTCGTTTGAAATTATTCTTATTGCAATATTAGATCTATAACAATTTGTATTGAATTATTTTAACAAAATTAAGATAACGAAATTGATTTACCGGGGTTATAATTAAATAATATTTGAAATTGTTAACATATAATTTATAATATAATATATGAATTTTTTGTTTCACACATACTTATATAATCTTAGGCTACGTTAGAGAAGAAAAGTAAAAGAAAAAAAAGAAAAATTCGTCGAATATTTTGATGTCCTTACATTTGTAATGTAAACACGGTTCAAGACTAAAAGAAAGTTTCTATCGAGCAAATTAAAAATGATATACATCGTATGCACGTTGATGAAAAAAAAAAAATGATTGAATAATTTGTTTAACGTAGGATTTCAAGACCATCGATATTTTTCCCCTTGACTCCTACTACCACTAATTGATCAAAATACGACTGATTGTGTGACGAAGTGTCGCGAATATATGCTAGAAGACAGAAAAAAAAAAACGACGAACATTATAATTTATTTGATAAATGTGTAATGAGCGAACAATCAATATATTATACATTGTTATTTTTCTTAGTTTTTTTTGTTTTTTCTTTTGTCCATTATCAAGCACAAATTAACATAATATAGATTTTAATTAAATAAAACTAAGAGATAACAAGAAAAGAAATATATATTACGCATATATAATACATGTATATATATATATGTGTTGGCGTTACTTTGTACAATTCGTTCATTCGTGAAATGATTAATTAAATCTTAATATAACTATACTGAACCGTTTTAAATGTGAAATAAGGTATAATTACATACTTCAACTTGGTAATATATGAATTTACAAGTGGCGAATAATTAAGATATGAAATTAAAATTTAATCCGTAGATTAGATTCGATTGAACAGCAAGATTAACAACAGAACATTGATTTTCAAAACACGGGAAGAGATAAAAATGGATAAAAAAACTACGAATATTATTGTAGAAATATAAGCAGATTTTAAAGATGTATCATACAACTACTATATAGTTTTAAAGTATAATTAAATTCTTTTTATATTATTTCTCTCAAAAATACCAAATTATTTCGGATGAGATCTAAGGTTTCAACGATTTAATTGAATTATACAATTTAATGCTGACATATATGAATAATAAAATTGTTGAGTTTCATTAAAAAATTAAATTTACACACACACACACACATACATTCCTGAAAATACGAATTATTATCGTGTATGTTTATTTTTTTATTCTGTTTTTATTTCTTTGTATTTTTATCCTCGTCCATCATTAGTTAGTTTTAACAACAAATATTTGTTCGTTCATACGAATGACCTCGCGACGTACACTATAACAATTCTATAACTATGAATGAAAAGAAAAGAAACAATACAGGAAAAATGGAATAACTCTTTTTCGAATAATCGTGACGAAAAAAATATGAGAAAATAATTTCGAATATTTTTCAAAACGAAACGAAACGAAACGTAACGTTGCGTTACGTTGTTGTCCTATACACGGACTGTTAATGTTTGTACAGAGTTTATCACAGTAACGTGCTCTTGATGTGCGGAAAAAAAGAAGTAAAATGAAAATAAAAGAAAAAAGAGAAAAATATATAAAAAAAAAAAAAAAAGGAATGACAAAGAAATCATTCAAAGAAAGAAACTATTTTCCCTGAAAGTCCTAAAAGTATAACAAAAAAAAAATAATATGAAAATATTAGAAAATAAAATAAAATTAAATTAAATTAAAATTAAAATTAAAATTAAAATAAAATAAAATAAAATATTATTCGACAATCGTGTTCGCTCCTTGGATCGTGCTCTTTCACACATATATACACATACATCACACGATGCTCTAACAATCAGTTTCCTTGAAATCGATCTTACCTTATATCAAAGATCCAAATTATATATGTATACATACACATATATATATCTGTCTCTGCACTTGGCGTTTGTGACCAAATTATACCATCTCCTCTCTCTCTCTCTCTCTCTCTCCTTCTCTTCCTCCTCTTCCTCTTACTCTTTCTAAAAAAAAAAAATAAATAACAAAAGAAACGTTGTAATCTACCGATTGATCGTACGATTCCCATTAGAAATTTTGACGATAATAAATCAATCGATTCTCGATCACGAAAAAATCGTATCGATGTGAATACAGATTTATTTATGGTCAATTAAAACAATGGGAATTTTATTTTGTCTTTGCGAGTCGAACGAAAATGTATAGGTAGCCTTCTTCTAAACACCTCACACATAGTCATATTCTATTACCTATAAATTTTGTACCTCTTCATACATAATACACAAAAATAAAAAGTAACAACTGAGACGTGAAATATATATATAATAAAAATTTCAAAACCTTCGTATATATATACATATATATATATATATATATATGTACACATAAAAATTATATAGATACATTATGAGAAAATTTTACACTCTATACTATACACTTTTTGTCATAAAAGATCGAACTATTTGAAATTCATTCTTAAAATAATTAATAATAAAAAAAGAAAAAAATAATAAAAAAAAAAAAATTACAAAAAAGGAAAAAAAAAAAAAWAAAGATATAAACACTTATTCAGGTTTTTTCTATCGCCAACTACTATGGGACTAAATATCGCTGAATTCTCATTAAAAGCTCCATTATTGTAATTAAAACTGTAAACGATAATCGACATCTTATTGCGAACGATAATTGTCTCTATCGATTATATTATGTATGTATGTATGTATGTACACAAAGGCGAGCCACGAGAACGGTTCGAGAGAACGATCATTTTTGAAAATATGGATTTGAAAAAAAAACATATTTAAAAAAATAAACAATAAATAATAGAGATCACAAAAAAAAAGAAACAGTAAAAAGATATTATAACAAAAAGGGATCATAATTTTCGAATGAAAAGGATATATAACAGCGCGCGAATATATTTAAAATGTATTAAATATTAAAATATTTGAATTAAATTGTGTTTACTAACTTGATATTTGCTCGAAATAAATGTTAAAACACGGAGACGTGCTGAACAACAACCCCTCGCAGCGGCTCGACTAGAAATGTCAAAATCAGCTGTGCAGGGCCGACCCCCACCACCGATCACCACGAGACCCAACCCCACTCCGCGTTGGTTGCGCGCGCATCGGCTCGGCACGTATCTTACTCTGCTGAAACTAAGAAAGTTATATTATTAATTAATTAATTAATTAATACTATGCAGTCCCCCCCAATGGCTCCACGTTGGTGCCATGCGAAAATAATTGTCTCCCTGGAACCTCAAAAAAACCGCCGGCATTAAACGTACGGACGGCATAGTGTTAATAATTAAATGAGACTGAATGTTCTAATAACTTGTTAACTTAACTAAAATACGGACTAATTGAACATATCTTTTGTTGTTATTAATATATTTAACAAAAACAAATACATCGGCACTCATTATTATATTATTATTATTATTATATAGATTATTACAATTATAATAATTATTATTATTATTATTATTAATATTACCGTTAATTAAATAAAGTTGATTTTTATCATGAGAATGTTTATTAATTGTATAAGTGTTCGTATTAATATAAATATATATATATAAATATATAATTAAATAATATATTTAATGAGAGGGCTGACATATCAACTAGAAATGGTATCTTCGAAAAATTATGATCTTTTTAATGTCAAATGGCTGTTCGCAATGGATTTTACATACACCCAACGAATCTTTCTTGTGGAACATCCTAAATATATACAAATCTAAAACGATCACACATACATACGTTTCATCTGTGTACACATAAAGAGGAGATAAATTATCATTTAACACTGTTGTATATTGGCACAAAAGTAATCTTTTATTCTTAATACCCGTGTATTAAATATTCATATATGCATACGTATACTTCTCCAAAAATATATATATATATATGCATATATGATGGTACACATTAAGTTTATTGTTAAACTGACTATAGAACATGTATGCGGAAAAAAGAAATTGTAAAGGAGATTAATATTGAAGATAGCTTGCAACTTGTTTACCAAAATTTAGTTTTGTCAGAGGCTAGTTATAGTTCGAGTTAACTGAAAATAATGGAAAGAATGATAAGCGATGTGTAAGTTCAAGAGAGGTGTGAGTTAATACGGAAAGAATGAATAGTGAGCATGTTAGAGAGAAAGAAAGGAAGAGAGATTAAAGAAAGAATGAAAAGAAGAGAGAATATGAGTGAGAGAAACAGCGAGAAAGGAAAATAGAGTGATGATGACAATAATAGTGCCAAGCGATTCGTACCCTGAATAATTGCAATTTTTACTAGAGCAATATTATATAGTACTAGTATTATATATTAAATAAATCGGTTATATATATGTAAGAACAAAAAAATACTGAAAAAGAAACGATTATGCTTAGATACGCATTAGTTGCAATACTTTTGAGACTACCTCCTGAAAACTTGAGAAGTGATAACGCTATATTAAATCTTAATGAAATGCTCTCATATTTTAATTGCATTTTAAAAGAATATTTTTCAACTTGTCCAGTTTACTTAATCTGTTAGAGATAATCTTTTGTAAATGCTCTAATCCACTATGTTGGATCTTATATATGAAAAAAAAAAAAAAACTATAAACGGTGATCTATCTCTGAAGAATTTTGTACGTCAATAGATAAAATGCTTGTTATCGCTTTGATAGTTAAAACAATGGGACGAATCGCAGCGCGTAGCTGTTGCATGGATGTATGATTCATACAAAGATACTATAAAATTTAAATTGTTTTATATTTTTGTTACGCCTCTCTGTGATATAATAAGGGCACATTCACCTCACCCTGTATATGCATTAATCTTTGTATCTTATTGAATTAAGGTGAAACTTTTTGAAGAACAATCCTTGCCATGCCCTTCCTAATGTATTTTGGACTGTGCTCGTGCGTACCATTAAGATCAAAAGTATTCATGTATTCCTTAATACGGTCTAAATACTTGACTAACTTCATGGACATCAAAGCTATTTGAAAAATACAAACTTAAGGGAACCGTTAAGTCTAATTCAGCCTATAATTACATTACTTTCTTTAATTACATTTTATAAACAATATTGAAGAATAGAAATATTTAATACGACAAGAAGTATAACTGAATGGATGAATGAACACATCATACCTCTTGTCACATTAGATAATTGCTATTGGCCTTAAAGTAAATATTCTAATCGTTCCATCTGATACATACTCTTTTAATCCTTTTCATTTTATTAAATAGACTTAACAGTCCTCTCTCAAAGTATTAACTAATGGGGTACGTTCGAGCTTGTGCTTGTGAAAAAAATATGAAGTGTATCATTACACATTGTATTGTACTGTACTTAATTATAAGAAAAATAATCTTAATACATTAAACTGTGAAAAGAAATATATTACAAAAGAAGACGTTAATCATTATACAGCGTGTATTAC